TGTCACTAGTGCGGAGGTGCGTAATGAGGTCAGCGACTGTGGGAAAGGCAGCAAGGTCAGGAAAGAGGTACGGTAGCATGAGACGGCTCAGTGCAGCAGTGGCAGGGGAGGAGTAGCGCGCAACTACAGCGTCGTACAAGGTCTGAGCACTCTTGTACTGACTAAAGTGCGCACGCTCGGAGGTAGGGAGGTGGCGACGCACAGCAAGACGTGCAGCAGCGTCGCGCGTGGCCCACTGGGAGCGAACAGTGGCGTCAGCATCAGCAGCAGGGGCAGTGGAGGCGCCAGAGGTGAGGTCAAAGAGAGAGAGGCCGTCTGCCCTATCGCACTGTAAGAACAGCTGCAGGTCATCTATCCAGACCTCAAAGTCAACGGCCCGACCCTCACCGTCAAAGACGAGAACACTAGGGGTGGCCATGACCCTAGACGACTAGCAGCGCAAACAGTAGGGTGAGGGCAGTGCAGTGAAAAGGCGCTGTGCTCACCAGACAGGGCAGGTCGGGCGGCCCGGAAGGAGGGCGGCGCGGCGGCTCGGCGGCTCAGCTGCTGGGCGGCTCGGCTGCTGGGCGGCTCGGTTGCTGGGCGGCTCGGCTGCTGGGCGGCTCGGCTGCTGGGCTGCTCGGCTGCAGGGCGGCTCGGCTGCAGGGTGGCTCGGCTGCTCTGCTGTCGGGCGGCTCGGCTGGTGGGCGGCCGGGCGGCTCGGCTGCAGCGCGGCTCGGCGGCGGGGCGGCTCGGCTGCTCTGCTGCTGGGCGGCTCGGCCGCTGTAGAGGAGTGGCAGCGGGGCCGCTTGATAGGGCGGCAGGGCCGCTGCAGAGAAGCGGCGGGGCCGCTGGGTAGGGCGGCGGGGCCGCGAGATAGGGCAGCGGGGCCGCGTGGTAGAGTGGCGGGGCCGCGCGATGGGGCAGCGGGGCCGCGAGGAAGGGCGGCGGGGCCGCTAGGTAGGGCGGCGGGGCCGCGCGATGGGGCGGCGGGGCCGCGAGGAAGGGCGGCGGGGCCGCTAGGTAGGGCGGCGGGGCCGCGCGATGGGGCGGCGGGGCCGCGAGGAAGGGCGGCGGGGCCGCTAGGTAGGGCGGCGGGGCCGCGCGATGGGGCGGCGGGGCCGCGATGGGGCGGCGGGGCCGCTAGGTAGGGCGGCGGGGCCGCGCGATAGGACGGCGAGGCCGCGAGGTAGGGCGGCGGGGCCGCTAGGTAGGGCGGCGGGGCCGCTAGGAGAGAGGCGGCGGGGCCGCGTAGACGGGCGGCGGGGCCGCTGAGACGGGTGGCGGGGCCGCAGTGAAGGGCCGCTAGGGCGGCTCGACGAAGTGAGGGCCCGGAGCGCGACTCGGGCTGAGCGCGCTTCGGGCAGGAAAAAAAACTCGATGTGGTGGGCCCTAAGCACAGTTCCCAAGGGGGAACCTGCTCGATACCATGAGAAGATTTGATCAAGAAGGATGAACTATGAAATGAAGTGAGTACAAATATGAAACCCTAATTGGTTGTACCCCCTATGGGATACCCCACTATAGCCTACACAACCGCATAAGCTACAATGTTCTGACAGAGCTGCTGCTGGTGTCGGTGGTGATGAAGAGTACGTAGCCAGACTTGGTGAGGCTGGTCAAGCCTTAGAAAACCAGAGTCGGAAGAGGAGAAGGTCAGCAGCTGCACAAAAGGCAGATTTGGCTAGCCGTCTGCTGCCTCAGGCGGATATCGCTCTACCAAATGCCGATACAACCGGATATGACTTCTCGCCACGTGATAACCCAAACATAGTTGATATTGATTCTCGGCTCTTCAGATTCTGTAAAACAGCAGCCGGTGGCGTGGGACTTTCAAGAGCAGACACCAAGGAGTTGATTGACATCGTCATTGAAGCTCTAGAAAATCCAGGCATAGTGAACTTGAAGTCCCTAGCAGAATTCAGCAGGTATAAAGAGGCGAAGACTTCAGAGGCATATTTGACAGGTTTTCAGAAGGTGGATTTGCGCAAACATGGGGATTCAAAACCAATATACCTATATTGGAGGCCGACAATGTCGTGTATCCGTGGATTGTATCAAAATCCAGCAAATGCAGACGGTTTTGTAGTGGAGCCGGAGGTTCTACCAGAAAATGCGCGCATTATTTATAAGGGGCCAGAAACAGGATCATGGTGGCGTAGTGTACAGTCAAAACTGGATGAAGGAGAAGTAGTAGCGGCGATCATTATTTATTCCGACGAAACAACGCTGACGACTGACGGTGGTGTTGTCGGTTGGCCCGTGTATATTTCACTGGCCAACATTTCATCGGCGAACCGTTGGAAATCGCATGGCCACCGCTTGTGTGCTCTTCTTCCAAAAATTGACAAACAGACGTTGTCAAAAGCCGAGGAGACGCGGCGGCGACACGAGGTGTTTCAGGAGGCTTTGCGACTAATACTCGAAGAACAACGGGAAATCGAAAAGGAGTGAGTTCGTTTTTTTATGTTGTAAGTCGCTTTCTGTTTGATTTCTGTACTTGTTGGGGATAATGTGCCTTTTGTTTGCTTTCAAAAAATGTTCTCAATTGTTTGTCAAAGGTCCCTTTATGCTCGCGTGAGTCCTGTAAAGCGAATGACTATATGGTTGGTTTGTTGTGCGCGTCCAATTTCGCATGCACTAAGGGCGTGTCCGAAGTGAAACGGCGACATCCGTTGACATCTGTTTTTGGTTGTCGGTAAAGGTCAGCCTTCGGATCGAAGGAATCGACCGTCTGGATGCGTCGACAACCGCCGACGGATGTCAACGCTTCAGTTCGAGCACGTCCTAATTCACACTCGAGCTGCACGGTCGATTACCGTTACAATCCGTCTCGTCTGAGATATTATTTCATTTGCGAGTCACATTCGTCTTTGATGAATAATATTTTTGTTAGCTGTTTTTTTTTATTTTTCACCAGGGGAGAGCTACTGAAGGATCTGAGAAATAACGAGGAATGAATTGACTAGGGGAAAGTTGGGTACAAAAGCAAACCCTAGAAAACTGTACCCCATATGTGCTACCCCACTATAGCCTACAGTAGCTATGTCATATAAATCTGACACACCCCCATAGGCAAAGTGGGGGAGAACAAGGGGTCACAAGACCAGTCAAGCAAAGCAAAGCAAGCTCAGGGTGGATCACAAAGTCACCACACATTCCGAGCACAAGTTCAAGGCCACAAGGCCAGTTCACATGCAGGATTGCATATATATATAAGGCTAGACAAGCAAGAGCAGGTGTATATATATATGCAACAGTACAAACAAGGTCAAGGGGTGAGCAAGTGAGGCAAGGTAGGCACAAGACCCAGCTGAGTACAGAAGCGCTGATGATCACAAGGCGGGAGTGCCTTGGTGAAGATATCAGCAGTGTTGGCCTCAGAGGCCACGTACGCAAGCCGCAGCTGACCACGCTGCTGTAGCTCACGAGCAAGGAAGTAGCGGAGAGCAATGTGCTTCGTTCTGTGCTCCAGTCTCTGCTCTCGACACAAGGCCAGCATGGCCTTGTTGTCTACGTTCAGCACTGGAGGAGAACGAGGCGGCTCTCCGAGGTCAGTCAGCAGGTAGGTGAGCCAGCGAAGCTCCTGTGCAGCCATGGCACCGGCGTAGATCTCAGCCTCACAACTGGAGCCGAGAACAGAAGACGAGCGGGTAGCCCGCCACGAAACAGAGCCGGAACCAAGGCTGAAGGTGTAACCCTGTGACGACCGCTGCGTAGCCTGGTCGTCAGCCCAAGAAGCGTCTGCGTGCCCAGTGAGGACCACTGGACTCTGCCCTCCATGCACAAGCCCCATGCCCGACGTACTGCACAAGTAGCGCAACACCCTCTTCGCTGCAGCCATGTGCTCCGGTCTGTGTCTCCCAGGAGCAACATAGCGTGCAAGAATGCTAAGAGGGTATGCAAGGTCAGGTCGTGTGCAGGTCATCAGGTACATGAGGCAGCCAACAAGCTCTGGGTACGGGCCACTTGACTCTACGGACTCATCCGAAGGCAGAGCTGAGAGCGAGTGGCGAGTAGGCAGAGGAGTGGCCTGAGGCGAGGAGTACGTGAAGCCGAAGCGCTGAAGGACCTGCTGCACCATGTGTGACTGAGTCAGGGTAATGGTGCGGCGTGCTCTGTCCCGGGTGATCTGCAAGCCAAGGTAGCTGCGCAGTACACCCAGATCTGTGCACGTGTGTCTCTTCTGCAGCTCGGACTTCACGTGGGCGAGTCCAGCAGTGTCAGCTGTGGCGAAGACCAAGTCGTCGACGTACACGAGGATGTAGAACGGCGGCAAAGAAGTGTCGGTGCGCAGAAACAGCGACGGGTCGGCAGTAGAGGGAGCAAACCCAAGAGCCGCAAGCGTAGTCCTCAGTGTGTCGTGCCACTCACGCGGTGCCTGGCGGAGACCGTAGACTGGCCGCCGGAGGCTCCACTGGGTGCCAGGAGGAAAGGACCCAGTGAAGCCAGGTGGGCGACGCAGCCAGATCTCCTCGTGCAGGCTGCCCTGCAAGAAAGCAGTGCTGAAGTCAAGAGAGTGCAGCTCGTAGTCGCGGTGAGCAGCTATGTGCAGCAGTACCCGAAGAGTGGTCATCTTCGGGGTGGGAGAGAAGGTCTGAAAGTAGTCAACTCCCTGCCGCTGACTGAAGCCACGAGCCACGTAACGCGCCTTGAAGACATGCGGAGAACCCGGCGGCCGCTTCACCCTGAAAATCCACATGCCACTGACGATGTTCGCCCCAGGCGGGGGAACCTCGTCAACGTAGGTGCCTGTGGACTTCCAGGAAGCCATCTCTGCGTCCATAGCTGCCTGCCACTGAGAGGAGTAGGGACCCTCTATCGCCTCCGCGTAAGAGCGCGGAGTCGGGATGTCAAGTGCATCCGGGTCTCCCTCAGGGGTAAGCAGTACGGACACGAGATGAGGTGAAGCAGCAGCCAAACACTGGAACTCCTCCTGCCTGTCCTCAAGGACGTCCGTGCCAAGGGCACACTCACCCCCGACGGACGGAGGACAGACAGACTCAGACTCAGCAACAAGACTAGCAGCGTAGTCTAGACGACAGCGAGCAGCAAAGTCGACGAGCTCAGTAACTAGTGCAGACGCAGCAGTGGACTCAAAGGAAGGGTCAGTGACAACAGTAGCAAGGAGACGCGTGACAGTAGGACTGGCAGCACGAAGAGAGTCCGACTCCGGGTCAGGAAGAGCAGGAAGTGAGGACTCAGGAGGAGAAGGCAAAGGGGCACGCAGAGGAGCAGTGGACGGACGCAGAGACATCCGGTGCGTGCCAGGGACAGGAGGAGGACGCTGACGCGAACCACGACCACTAGTGCGAGCAGCACGGACAGGCGACGCAGGGCGAGACGCAGGCTCACGACGCTCAGCATGACCTCCAGTAGGACCAGTGTAGGGAGAAGGAGGGGGCAGTGGGGAGGCCGGCTGTAACTGTAACTGTGACGGGACAGGCTGTGGACACTCTAAGGGAGGAGGAGGACCAGTAGAAGGCGGGAGACCAAGAACCTGCTGAAGGAGTGGAACGAAGTACGGCCGAGGCCGCGCGGCGACTCCAGACACAGCAGGGACAACACCAGCACCTCCAGCTCCAGTACCTCCAGCAGCACCAGTAGCACCCCCAGCAGGACCGCCTCCAGGACCGACAGCAGTAGCCTCAGCGCCAACACCCTCAGCAGCTCCAGCTCCAGTCGTACCCGCAGGCCCAGCAGCTCCAGTACTCCCAGTACGAGCACCACCGGGACCCGCGGCACCAGTACCCTCAGCAGCCGAAGAACCTCCAGCTCCAGCAGCACGCCTCCAGCGCCGGGCAAACCACTCGCGCAGCTCCTGTGGAGAGAGTGGCTCCCGCCGAGACGAAGCACCCGGAGAACCTCCAGGCTCAGCACCGCCAGACGCCACACGAGCAGGCCCAGCTCCCTCAGGCTCCGCACCCCCAGGCTCAGCACCCCCAGGCGTAGCACCCCCAGGCTCAGCACCCCCAGGCTCAGCACCCCCAGTAGTAGCACCCCCAGGCTCAGCACCCCCAGGCTCAGGACCCCCAGTAGTAGCACCCTCAGGCTCAGCACCCCCAGGCGTAGCACCCACACGCTCAGCACCCACAGAGCCAGCACCCCCAGGCTCAGCACCCTCAGCAGCACCAGAGTCACCAGTAACCTCGACAGGCTCGACTGCGTCTACCTGGGACACACCTGAAGGGGCAGGACCCTGAGGGGGGAGGGGGTCTACCGGGGGGGACCTGGCACAAGGAAGAGCGGTGGCGGGGGGAGGGACGGAGTGCGGTAGGGGAAGAGGCGGTAGTAGGGGACCGACTCGTCAAACGTGACGTCCTGGGAGGACAGAACACGGCGAGAGGTGGGGTGGTAGAACTGCCACCCTGGCGCGTCAGGGGGGAAGCCAAGGAAGACGCAAGGAGCAGCACGAGGGGACAGCTTGTCCGCAGACAAGTCGCGGACAAACGCCCGAGATCCCCAGACACGGAACGCAGACGCATCGCCAACCTTCCCCGTCCACAGCAAAGCTGGGGAGGTCTCCGGCATGGAGACCCTGGGGTGAAGGTTGATCTGATGCGCCGCGTACCGAACCGCAAACGGCCACAGAAAATGGGGGGCAGCCGCATGCATCATGGACGTACGGGCGACGTCCATGACCATGCCAATGCGGCGCTCAGCAATCCCATTTTGCTGTGGAGAGTCCGGAAGCGTGAAGGTCTGGCGGATGCCTCGTGTACGACAGTAGGCTCGCAGAAGGCCAGAGGAGAACTCTCCACCTCTGTCAGAGTGCAGACGCAGAACAGGAAAGTCCGAGCCGAAGCTCTGCCTGAGCTGGAGACGAGCTGCGCGGATCCAGTCGATCAACACCTCAGTGACATCACCCTTGCTGCGCAAGGGGAAGACTGTGGTGTAACGCGAGTAGTCGTCAACCACCAGCAAAAGTAGCGCTCGTGACCCTGTCCACGGACGCGGGCCGGGCCCCACACGTCCATGTGAAGCGTCTGCAGCGGGGCCTCTGTCTGAGGAAACTGGGAGGAGTGAGGGGCAGCCCGCTGCCGCCCCTCGACACAGGGGACGCAGGTAGGGCCAGGCCCCGGAGGAAGGGGAGGGAGGGACAGGGGAAGACCAGAGACAAGGACACGGGAGGCCATGCCTCGGAGACGAAGCAGGGAGGGGTGACCAAGGCGGTGGTGCCAGAGGAGAGTCTCGTGAGACAGAAGGCGACACGAACAGGGGGCAGACTCAGGACCAGACCTGGACGCTGCAGCAAACACCTGACCCGACGCAGCTACCTGACCAGACGCAGTGACTGGAGGAGACGCAGTGGTCAGTGTGTACAGGCTCGACCCCGGCCGACGTGTAAACGTGGCCAGGTGTCGGCCTGTCCGAGCGTCCGTGCAGTGGGTCACCCGCTGACTCGCAGGAGTGAACTGGTGAACCCCCGCATCCTGTAGGTCAGCACCACTCACCAAGTTCGTAGAGAACGAGGGGAGGTAAAGACCAGACAGGGTGCCAGAGGGGGCCGCCGGACACGGGAGGACAGTGGAGAAGTGAGCAAGGACAGGACCCCCAGAGGGGTCTGCCAGAGAGACTGCAACTGGCCGGCCAAGCGGCGTGAGTGTGGTGCGGTCTCGAAAGAAGGAGCGAGAAGCCCCCCGAGTCAAGGGTGAAGGTGTGGGAGGCCGAAGCCGACGCAGTACCTGAGAGAGCAGACTCACCAGTACCTGAGGGAGCAGACGCACGAGCACCTAGAGCAGCAGCCTCGCTAGCACCTAGAGCAGCAGCCTCACCAGTATCTAGAGCAGCAGTCTCAATGCCCGGGTCGGGCGGAAAACACCGGTAACAGTCACCCTCATCACTAATAGTCACAGCATACATGGCAGCAAGAATAGCATCAAAGTCAAGGTCAAAGACAGCTACACCCGCCCTTGACAGCTCGCCCCAGCGAGGGATCTCAGTGGCCTCAGGGAACTGGTGACACCAAGCGTCCGTCAGGCGGCCAAAGCAGCGCTGGGTGGAGTGCGCACCCCCGCACTGCTCACCCGCGCGGTCGCCGGTGCGTAGGACGGAGGTGCACGGACCAGTACCCCCACCCCGCTGGCGTGCAGCGTACCACTCACGGAGCTGCTGAGGGGGGGGGATGTCACGAGTGCGCTGCTGCCGCTGCTGCTGCTGCTGCTGGCGCTGACCACCACCGGAGCCGACCCTCTGTGCAGCGCCACCCCGACCAGCTCCACCTCCTCCGCCGCCGCCTCCTCCACCGCCGCCACCTCCGCCACCTCCGCTCCCACCGCCACCGCCGCCGCCGCCTCCGCCTTCACTGCCGCCACCGACACCTCCACCCCCGCCACCACTCCCACCACCACCCCCACCCCCTCCACTGCCGCCTCCGCCACCTCCGCCACCCCCGCCAGCCCCTCCAGCACCCTTGCCCCCCTTGCCCTTGCCGGTGCGGCGTCTCCCGCTCGGGGCAGACGCAGCGTCGACCGACTCGAAACCAACGAGGTCGGCCGCAGCAGCAGAGGCAACAGAGGGCAAAAGGGGGGAGGGGGAACACCCCTCAAAGACGGGGGTGCGAGGGTCACCACGAGAGGCTCCTACAGCGACTATGCTCTTCTCTGCTGCTAGGAGGGCCTTCTCGAGGAGGTCAACGGTGAGAGTGGTGGGGCAAACTGAGAGGAAGTGGTCCCTGACTACGCGAAGGGAGTCAGGGAGCCGGGTGACTATGTAGTAGAGGGTGATGTACATGGGGGGGGGGTCTTGGCGCAGAACTCAGCAGGAAGCGCAGCGCGGTAGCGAGTGTCACTAGTGCGGAGGTGCGTAATGAGGTCAGCGACTGTGGGAAAGGCAGCAAGGTCAGGGAAGAGGTACGGTAGCATGAGGCGGCTCAGTGCAGTAGTGGCAGGGGAGGAGTAGCGCGCAACTACAGCGTCGTACAAGGTGTGAGCACTCTTGTACTGGCTAAAGTGCGCACGCTCAGAGGTAGGCAAGTGGCGACGCACAGCAAGACGTGCAGCAGCATCGTGTGTGGCCCACTGTGAGCAAACAGTGGCGTCAGCATCAGCAGCGGGGGCAGGGGAGGCACCAGAAGTGAGATCAAAGAGGGAGAGACCGTCTGCCCTATCGCACTGTAGGAAAAGCTGCAGGTCATCTACCCAGACGTCAAAGTCAATGGCCCGACCCTCAGCGTCAAAAGCGAGGACACTGGGGGTAGCCATGACAGCAGTAGACTAGCAGCACGAGCAGTAGGCTAAGGGCAGCGCAGTAGTAGAGGTGCTGCTCTTATCGGGCAGGCGAGACGGACCGAGTGTAGAGGACAGGGCGGCTCGGACGGCTCGGCGGCTCGGCGGCTCGGCAGCACCGGCAGGTCGGCAGCTCAGCGACTCGGCGGCTCGGGCGACTCGGGCGGCTCGGGCGGCTCGGGCGGCTCGGGCGGTTCGGTGGCTCGGGCGGCTCGGGCCGTTCGGTGGCTCGGGCGGCTCGGCTGCTGCAGGGGCAGCGGCGGCTGTTGCTCACAGGACGGCGGCGGCCGCTGCTGCAGCGGCGGCGGCAGTTGCTGCTGCAGGGCCGGCGGCGGCCGCTCCTGTAGGGACGGCGGCGGCCGCGGTTGCAGTGGCGGCGGGTGCTGCAGCAGGGGCGGCGGATGCTGCTGCTGCTGGGACTGCGGCCGCGGTCGCTGTAGCGACTGCAGCTGCTGCTGCTGTAGAGGCGGCGACGGCGGCCCGAGAGAGGCCGCGAATGGCGGCGGACGGGCCGTGAAGGGCGGCACGAGGGGCCGCAGAGGGCGGCGACCGGCCGTGAAGGGGCCGGGAGTGGCCGTGGAGGGCGGCGACGGGCCGTGAAGGGCGGCGCGAGGGGCCGCGGAGGGCGGCGACCGGCCGTGAAGGGGCCGCGAGTGGCCGCGGAGGGCTGCGACCGGCCGTGAAGGGGCCGCGAGTGGCCGAGGAGGGCGGCGACGGGCCGTGAAGGGCGACGCGAGGGGCCGCGAAGGGCGGCTACGGGCCGTGAAGGGCGGCGCGAGGGGCCGGAAGGGCGGCGCGAGGGGCCGTAATGGCGGCACGAGGGGCCGTCAGAGGGGCCGCTAAGGGCGACGCGAAGGGGCCGTAAGGGGCCTAGAGAGGGCGCGACGGTAGGGAGGGCACGCGGGGCGCGACTCGGGCAGAAGCGAAGCGCGCTCCGGGCAGGAAATTTTTTTTTTTCGATTGGTGGGCCCTAGGAAGCGTTCCCACGAGGGAACCCGCTCTATACCATGAGAAATAACGAGGAATGAATTGACTAGGGGAAAGTTGGGTACAAAAGCAAACCCTAGAAAACTGTACCCCATATGTGCTACCCCACTATAGCCTACAGTAGCTATGTCATATAAATCTGACAGGATCCTTACGGGGTTGACCGCTGGGTGTATCCGGTGACATACTGTCAAACTTATATCTGCTATGGTCTATTTAGGCTGTAGTGGGGTAGCTCTTAGTGGGTACAACACTTATGTGTTTCCTATATGTACCCATCGCATTTTCTAGTTCATCATTCTTTCGTCAAATCCTTCTCACATGGTATCAGAGCTAGTTTCGAGAATTTTTAAAAAGGGCCCACCACTGAAATTCGTCACTGCCTACTCGACGCGCGCTTCGCGCCTTCCCCTTCGAGGCCCGTCACGGCCCCTGCGCCCGTCCTTCGAGCCTGCGCCCGCCCCGTAAGGCCCCTTAAGGCCTCGTTAGGCCCCGTAAGGCCCCTTTCGGCCCCGTTTAGGGCGCGGATTAAGGCCCCGTAAGGCCCCGTTATGCCCCGTAAGGCCCCGTAAGGCCCCGTCAGGCCCCGTTCGGCCCCGTTTAAGGCCCCGTTAGGCCCCGACAGGCGCCGTTAGAGGCCCCGTACGGCCCCGTCAGGCCCCATTTGGCCCCGTTTAGGGCGCGGATTACGGCCCCGTAAGGCCCTGTTAGCCCCGTAAGGCCCCGTCAGGCCCCGTTCGGCCCCGTTTAAGGCCCCGTTAGGCCCCGACAGGCCCCGTTAGAGGCCCCGTACGGCCCCGTCAGGCCCCGTTAGAGGCCCAGTACGGCCCCGTCAGGCCCCATTTGGCCCCGTTTAAGGCCCCGTAAGGCCCGTCAGGCCCCGTTATAGGCCCCGCAAGGCCCCGTTCTCGGCCCCGTACGGCCCCGTTATAGGCCCCGTCAAGCCCCGTTATAGGCCCCGTACGGCCCCGTACGGCCCCGTTATAGGCCCCGTCAGGCCCCGTTATCGGCCCCGCACGGCCCCATTATAGGCCCCGTACGGCCCCGTTATAGGCCCCGTCAGGCCCCGTTATAGGCCCCGTTCGGCCCCGTTATAGGCCTCGTCAGGCCCCGTTATAGGCCTCGTTCGGCCCTGCTCCTGAACTGCCCCGGCCCTGCGTCTGCACTGCCCCGGCCCTGCTCCTGACCTGCCCCTGAACTGCCCCGGCCCTGGCCCGGCTCTGCCCAGGCCCTGCCCCGGCCCTGCCCCGGCCCTGCCCCTGAACTGCCCCGGACCAGGCCCGGCTCTGCCCTGGCCCTGCTCCGGGGCCTGCCCCCACCTGTGTTCCTTGTGTCGAGGGCCGGCAGCGCGCCGCTCCTCACTCCTCCTCGTTTCCTCCGACTGAGGCCCCTCTGCAGACTCTTCACATGGACGTGTGGGGCCCAGCCCGC